ATTTTGTTTGATAGATGAACGAAGGAGATTAGTGGACAATGGCGAAGAATGCCGGAGGTGATGATTCGTCTTCTAAGTATGTTCAGCCAAAAATCTGCTATTGACACAACAGAGATTAAGTCCGGAGAGCAAATTTACCACTGACAAATCAAAGGGAAGGAATGAAAGAATGAGGGGGTCAGTTCAATGAAAAAAGAAAAAGAAAACTAAAAGGACGAAGTAGACACGACCAGTATTCATTTCACTTCTTTTTTTTTTCCCTTTCCTTTTTAGTCACCGTTCTTTTTATTGATTTTCAAACTTATTCTATTTTTTTTAATTTTTATTAGTAATTTATTCACTTTTTTTTCCAACATATATTCTTCTTTAGTTTTCTTGAAATTTTCTTTTTCCTCTCCGTCTTCTTATTTTTCTTCTTCTCTCTTGTCAAACATTTTCTTGGTTCTTCTTTTTCCTCTCTGCCTTCCTATTTGTCTTCTTCTCTCCTGTAGTGCATTTTCTTGATCTCTTCTTTTCTATTTCTTCTGATGAACAAAGTAAGAAAAACATATTTTTTTTAGAAAAAATGGCGACTAAGTATCTGCGTTCTAAGTAGGAACACAATTAATGTTTACTGTCGATCCGTCCCCTCTCCGTGCCCTTTCTACTTTCCATTTGTCCACAATCGTTTTCCCTTACCCATTATCTCGAGAAATGTGGACTCATGGTCCAGTCAATTGATATTTTTTTTATCCTTTTCTCTGTTTGAAAAAGCAGACGATCACGGTGAGGAATTCGCGTTCAGTTGTGAAAAATTCAACTTTAAAGACGTTGCCCGTCCCAGCTGAGGATCTGAGCCAACAGAAAAGCGAAGATCCTTGGGGATGTCGTGTTTGTTTTGAAGGGATTTTCAGTAGGAAAGAAGAAAAAACCTGATGTCACCCATAGAAGTAGTGAGGCTCAGTAGTCTGCATGTAGTGTTGTCATCGAAAAAGTTTAAATGGAGGTCGAGGAGGAAGAAAAAGAAATAAAGAAACGAAGTAAAAATCAGGAAAATAAATACAGCAATAAGCAAATACATTCTGAGGAGATTTACAGTCAAAGTCAAAAAATACATTAAAAAGCAATGTCAAGTATTGATGCAATAGTTACTCTTAAATCGAGTATGCATTGTGTTCAAACTTTTTCCCTCCAATGACTTGATTTTCAGCAAATTTTGTTCGTTCAAGAAATACTTACATCATTTCTTGAACTCACCAAACTATTCACATTCAAAGATAGAAAATAATGAAACCCATGAAGTAATATTTTGGAAACGTCTGTTCTGTCAGTGAACTTAATATGTATAAAGATTCTTAAATGACATCTCCGTCTTTAGGTCTTTTACTAAATAATCTTTCCAATATATACGAGAAATGTCTGAAAAGTAACGAGATTGGTGTTACAAACAATTCATTTCAATTCCACACAACAAACTACATGGTTTCCCTTCAAAGGAATCTCCTTCGAGTCTAAAAGTGCACTTTTCCATCCTTTTCTGCCACGTTTCTACGTAGTGTTGAAAGGATTCTTCTTGGATACACCTCTTTGCTCTACTCTGCATTGAGCACTCTTTTAAGAATAGTATTTTAATTATTGGAATTTACATACTTGTATGTGTGTGTGGGTATGTGTGTATATATATATATATATATATATATATATATATATATATATATATATATATATATATAATGAGATTTGTCTGAAAAGTAACGAGACTGGTGTTACAAAAATAACTAATAGAATTTGTTGAACAATGAATAGAAACATTTCAATTTCTATTTGAAAAATGTATGGGATACATGTTGAGGAAAACCTGTTTTGATAAAAACATTTTATGAATTTCAACCGACAATAATTGTTCAGTTGATGAATACCAAATATTTTCTGTATGGAAACGGCTATTGTTACCATTATCTACACACCAAAACATAAAGAGGTTATTATAGATCATTAACTATTTTATGTAAATAATGAATATTCTTTCGGTAAATATACAGTGGAACGTTAATGCATATTTATATATATATATATATATATATATATATATATATATATAATCGATAAAAGCGTAGTGACTTAATCCAAAGAGTTGTGTGTTCAATACCTGATCAAAAAGAGAGAAGAAAGTTATCCCAAAAATAAGGTTGGAGCGTAGAACGGCTAAAACGTCATGAATATGTCAATAAAGATGAAGACAACAGTCTGAACGATGTAAATTTATCTCTCTCTCTCTCTCTATATATATATATATATATATATATATATATAGAGAGAGAGAGAGAGAGAGAGAGAGAGAGACAGACAGACAGACAGACACAGAGACACAGACAGACAGACAGAGACAGAGAGACAGACAGACAGAGAAAGAGAGGGGGCATAAATGTAAGCACACACGTTTTCTCAATTACTATGATCGATGATTTTTAATTGCCGAATTTATATTTTTACTTTCCTAATTAATTTAACATTCACAACT